AAAAGAAGAGCCAAAGATCCAAAAGGAGACGAGGATCACAACGACGAGAAGATGAACACGACGAGACCAAACCCAAGCAAGAAGGAAGTATTCGACGAGATCTGGCCGAGAGAAGACGTGCTTAATTGACGAAGCAAACCAAACGACGCGACGACGAACCAGTTTTCCAATTTAAACCATTATAAACCGTTTATTAATTGTTATCTTTAAATAAATGAATAATTTCACTAACCTTCAAAAATAAACAAACCCTACAGACATTATAATTTTTTTTTTCTATTTTTTATATATATATTTTTTGATCTCTCCTATGGCAGCTATATGATGGAGTTATCCGATTTTGATAAAATTTAATCCGAAATTCAATAGCAATTAGAAAACGCCATCTGGAAGGAATCAAGTCGATCTGATCAAAAACAACGGAGTAAGAATTTTTTATTTCATTCTCTCGTATGGGAGCTATCCTATATAGTCGCCCGATCCGGCCCGATCCGGCCCGTTCCGACTTATATACTGCGTGCAACAACTACACAACTTTTGGGAAAGTTTCACCCAGATAGCTTTAAAACTGAGAGACTAGTTTACATAGAAACCGACAGGAGGACAGACGGACAGATGTACATACGTACATATGTATTTGGATTCTGATCGTGATGCTGATCAAGAATATATATACTTTATGGGGTCTGAGGTGTCTCCTTCACTGCGTTGCAAACTTCTGACTGAAATTATAATACCCTTTGCTCTGCAAGGGTATAAAAATGCTTGCTCAACAGCAACAATTTACAGCAACAATTATGGAACAACAACGAAACTGGATGCAAGCAATGCTAGAAAAAAACGCTTCTCCAGGTGCTAGTGATTCAAGCCACGCGGGTGAATTATCTATGTGTCCTCTGTTCCACAAATTCGACAAAGACAATAAAAATTGGAAGTGATATCTGGAACAATTATCGCAGCACTTCAACGCATATTCGGTTAGTGCAGAACAAAAACAAAAAGCCTATTTCCTTTCATGGTGTGGTGTAAATATATTCGAACTATTAAAAAATCGGTTCGGGAGTAACAATTTGAATACATATTCTTACAAAGAGCTCACAGACAAGCTCACGGAGCATTTCAACACAAAACGTCATATTGTAGCACCTCGCTAAGAGTTTTTCAAGAGGGAGATGAAGCATTCACAAACACATAGAGAGTGGGTAGCCGATTTGCGCGGAATCGCCCGTGAATGCGAATTTGTGTGCAGCAGAAGTGGATGTTTATCAAATTATGTAGATGAGATGATAAGAGATCAGATCATAGTACATACTCCGTATGATAAGTCAAAGCCAACTCTTGAAGATGTACTTTTAGTTGCAGAAACCTACGAGACAACAACAAAAACCGTTGCAGCGCTAAAAGAGAACATATACAAACAGGATCCAAATTCAGAAACGCCGTATGTGACAAGTGTGGTAGAAAAGGTCATATAGCAGTCATCTGTATGTCAAAAATTGTCAAGTCAAATGCCAAATTTAGTCAGTTTGTGTAGTCTGCGGAGACTTCCACAATTCCGCACACTGCCCTGCTAATAAAGAAGATCCCCATACAAAAAAATGTGGGAACTGCGGAGGAAACCATACGGCAAACTACAGAGGCTGTCTGGTCTACAAGGAGCTGAAGAGTCGCATGCGACAAGCGACAGCTACGCGTCAACAAAATACACAAAACGTGTATTTTAAATCAAAAACTACGCCAGACGTATTTTTCGCCAAGGCAGCCAGATCTTCGTTCGGTCCGCTCAGTACCACAAACGGCATCTCCTACGCTGATGCTCTACGAACGGGCATGGAAAAACCACTCCAGCCACACCCAAAAAACGCTAAACAGGTACCACCCCAGACGCAAAGTAATTTGGAAACTATGATGTTTACCATGCAACAAAGCATGATGAAGTTCATGTCATTTATGAAAGCGACCATGCAAACGCTGGTCCAGAACCAGAATATGGCGATGAAGCTGCTTGTATCACAGCAGTCCAAATAATAAATGACCAATCTACGAATATCCATGTGGAATGCCAACGGCATTTCACGGCATAAACTGGAAATAACACAATTCCTAAATGTAAATCACATCGACGCCATGCTGCTGGTTGAAACGCACCTCACAAGCAAATATAACTTCCATATACGGGGGTATACCTTCTACCGCACAGATCATCCCGATGGTAAAGCCCACGGCGGCACCGGCATCTTAATTAGAGAACGCATCAAACACCATTTTCACCAAAGGTTTGCAACAAATTACTTGCAAGCCACGTCTATAAAAGTGCAGTCAGGCAGTCAACCTTTGCATCGCCGCTGTCTACTGCCCACGTCGCTTTACAATCTCTGAAGGTCAATTCATGGACTTCTACAACTCACTAGGGGATCGCTTCATAGCTGCTGGAGATTACAACGCAAAGCATACGCACTGGGGATCACGCTTCGTTACTCCCAAGGGAAGGCAACTTTATAATGCACTTATAAATGTGAGAAATAAGTTGGACTACGTTTCTCCTGGTAGCCCCACATATTGGCCAGCAGATCCTAGAAAGATCCCAGATCTAATTGATTTCGCGGTTACAAAAAATATCCCACGCAACCTAATAAGCGCCCCGGCCCTACCCGATCTCTCATCAGACCACTCTCCATTGTTGATAACCCTTCTTCAAAACCCAGAAATTACGGACTACACCTACAGGCTGACGTCGCACAGAACTGACTGGATGAAATATAGGAAGTACGTCAGTTCCCACATTGAACTTAACACCCAGCTCAATATCGAAGAGGACATCGACTGCTCTACCGCCGCCCTGGAAGAGGTACTCGTCACAGCAGCCAGGATCTCAACACCACAACGACATGATGTGCAAATAAAGAAGTTCAAAACCAACCTGCAAATTGAACAGCTCGTTTTTGAAAAGAGGCGTCTGCGACGGGCGTGGCAAACCAGCAGATCGCCATGCTCAAAGCAACGTCTAAATGAAGCCACCCGCAAATTAAACCGGGTTCTGAAGCAAGATGCCAAAAACGCACAACTGAGATATATCGAGAAACTCTCTCCAACAAGTGCAAAGCATCCTTTGAGGAGGGCTCACCCAAATCTAAGCTCTCCGGCTGAAACCGTCTCCCCGATAAGAAATTCTTCAGGTGGCTGGGCGCGCAGCGACACAGACAGAGCCGAAACATTTGCCTCACATCTCAGGGGCGTCTTCCAACCGAATCCCGCCGCAAGTCCTTTTGCTCTACCGGAAATCCAAACTGAAAGCGAATCTACAATACCATCGTTTCGACCGAACGAGATCACCAAAGTCATCCAGAGGCTAAAACCGAAAAAAAGTTCCCGGCGGTGACGAAATAACTCCAAAAATGATAATTGAACTTCCAAACTGTGCTATTGAGGTCATCTGTAAACTCTTCAATGGGATCATAAGTCTTGGCTACTATCAAAAAAAATGGGAAAAGTCAATAATTATAATGATACCAAAGCCCGGAAAAGATCACACGATTCCGTCCTCTTACAGACCAATAAGTCTTTTATCATGCCTGTCGAAACTGTTCGAAAAATGCCTTCTAACACGCATTTTACCATATATGGGAGCTCATAACATTATCCCAGCCCACCAATTTGGCTTCAGAGAAAAACATGGAAGTATCGAGCAAGTAAACAGAATAACATCAGAGATTCGCACAGCCTTCGAACATAGAGAATACTGCAGCGCGATATTCCTCGACGTATCCCAAGCATTCGACCGCGTCTGGCTCACCGGTCTTATGCATAAAATTAAAACACACTTTCCCGGATACACTCACAAATTACTCGAGTCGTATCTCTACAACAGAGTCTTCGCAGTGAGGTGCAACACAACAACATCCGAAAACTATAAAGTCGAAGCTGGAGTCCCACAAGGAAGCGCACTGGGACCAACTCTATTCGTCCTCTACACAGCGGATATTCCCACGAGCGAGGGACTACTAACATCCACCTTCGCTGACGATACTGCGATCCTCAGCCGCTCCAGATGCCCAGTCCGTGCAACATCCCAATTAGATAACCACCTCACGGTAGTAGAGAAGTGGCTATCCGACTGGCGTATCAAAATAAACGAACAGAAGTGTAAGCACGTAACGTTTACTCTCAACAGACAAACATGCTCTCCGATCCACTTGAATAGCACAATGATCCCCCAAGTCAACGAAGTAACGTATCTCGGCGTCCACCTCGACAGACGTATAACATGGCGTAGACACATCGAATGCAAGAAACTACATTTAAAACTAAAAGCCAGCAGCCTCCACTGGATTATAAACGCCCGATCGCCCATGTGTCTGGACTACAAGGTACTGCTCTACAACTCCACTCTTAAACCAATCTGGACGTATGGCTCCCAGCTCTGGGGAAACGCGAGCAAAACTAACATAGACATCATACAGCGCGTTCAAGCAAAGATCCTGAGAACTATCACTGGGGCACCATGGTATATTCGAAACGAAAACATCCACAGGGACCTTGGCATTCTCGCAGTAAAAGATGAAATAGAAAAGCAAAAAGCGTCATACAAGGAAAAACTCTCAGCACACCCAAATCCTCTTACAAGGGATCTGACTCGGGTTTCCAGAAGAACCCGCCTGCAACGTAACGACCTTCCAACCCAGCCATAATTTGTCAGGGCCATTTTTTACTGTTCCAGTCTATATGACTGATAGTTAGGTTATCGTATAAGATTTGATACACTTATTGTTAGTCTCGTAAGGAGAAGATTCAATAAATAGAGCAAAGCTAAAAAAAAAAAAAAAAAAAAAAATGCCAAATGGCCTGGTCAAGCAAATAACCGAGAAGTCAAGCCCAGCAAGAACGAAGCAAACGAAGTCGAAGCGATCGAAGCAGTTTACAGTGTCACAGGTCAAGTAAAATGTCAACAAAACAGAAAAGTCATTGATCTCGAAATATTTAATCAAGTAATTTCATTTCAAATGGACTCCGGAGCAACAGCATCCGTGATAAACTCCAATACGTACGCGCTGCTGAAGAAGCCAAAATTGCACAAGTGTTCCCGAGTTTTACATGCGTTTGGACATACACCAATACCATTGCTAGCGGAGCTGCACACTGTCGCAAAGTGCGGGGAGGAAGAAACTTCGACCAATCTCTTCGGCATGGATTTATTTAACGTTTTCGGATTCGATATCATGCAAGTATCGAACATTTATGAGGTGCATAATGACAAAGTAAGTGACCTCTGCAACAAATACAGCGAAGTGTTTGAACCAGCTATGGGTGTCATTACAGACTTCAAAGCCAGCGTATTTCTAAAATCGTCAGCAACGCCAAAGTTTTATAAAAGCCGCATAATTCCGTTCGGTCAGATGGACAAATTTAAAGCTGAAGCAGACAGACTCACACAAGCCGGAATTTGGAAACCAGTCAAGTTCAGCAATTGGGCATCCCCAATTGTGCTCGCACCTAAGCCAGGTGGCGATATACGTATTTGTGGCGATTTTAAACAGGCAGTCAACGCACAAATCGACGTCGAACTGTATCCATTACCAACAAAAGAAGCTCTATTCCACATCATTCGTCATGGAAAGCAGTTCAGCAAGATAGACCTCAAGGATGCCTATCTTCAGATGGAATTAGATGAGGCTTCGAAAGAAATCATGGTGGTTAACACACCAGTGGGCCTATTTCAGTATCAGCGCCTTCCTTACGGGATTGCAAGTGCACCAGCCATTTTTCAAAGATACCTTGAGCAACTTCTAAAGGGAATAGAAGGTTGTGGCAACTATTTAGATGATATCATGATCTCAGCACCTACAAGCGAGGAACATCTGAACCGAATCGACCAAGTTCTCAGCACTCTTCAAGCGAACGGCATCAGATGCAAAAGGCAAAAATGCTTCTTTTTCAAGGACGAAATTGAATATTTAGGGCGAAGAATTAGCGCAAACGGAATTCTTGCAGACAGCTCAGGCTTGGAGGCTGTAAAACTGTTGAGACCGCCTTCCAACTTACAACAATTGGAAGCATTCATGGGTAAAGTTAATTATTATTGTAATTTTATTCCGAACTATTCGCAGTTGGCTGCTCCATTGAACCAGCTTCGCAGGAAAGATGTAGCCTTATTTTTTGGTCCACAACAGCAACAAGCTTTTACAGCTCTTAAGTCCCACATTATTAACGCAACGCAGCTAGCTCACTTTGACGAAAATTTACCGCTAGTGCTCGCTACAGATGCCTCATCCTTTGGCATCGGGGTAGTCCTTTCGCATCTTCAGCCAGATGGCGGAGAGAGACCCATTGTTTTCGCATCCAAGACGCTCGACAAGCATCAGGTTAAATACAGCCAAATCGAAAAGGAAGGACTTTCCATAATATTTGGAGTAAAACGTTTCCATCAATACCTTTACGGAAGAAAATTTATCCTGATCACAGACCACAAGCCGCTTGTTACCATTTTTAATCCAGGCAAGCATCTTCCGTTGATGACGTCAAACAGGATACAGCGTTGGGCCATTATTCTCTTGGCCTACAATTTCGATATACAGTATCGATCCACATCTGCTCATGGTAATGCGGATGCCCTTTCACGCCTTCCAGTGGGTACAGATCCAGATTTCGACAAAGAAGAGGAAGCTTGCCATACTGTAGTCGAAGTGTCAACACCGATAAATTCAGAGCTCATTTGCAACCACATGGACAAAGACGAACTCCTCAAACAAGTCCTGCAGTACGTATCTGTAGGATGGCCAGAAAAACTTCAGCCAGGCAACGAAGCCCTATTGCCTTACTTTAACCGAAAGTTTGCTCTTACAATCAACAAAAAATTGCTTTGCCTACACACAGACGCAAATCGTGTAGTAATTTCAGCCAGTCTACGTGTCCATATCCTAAAACTCTTACATGAAGGACATTGGGGCATTGTTCGAATGAAGCAGTTGGCAAGACAACATGTTTGGTGGCCTACCATTATCGAAGACATCAAAAGCCTTGCCCAGTCATGCAGCTTCTTCAAGTGCAACAATCCTACACCACACTCTCTTGGTGGTGCAGGATTGTTGCACTTGAAGATGCTGCATGACCAAAGTTGGCCAGCAGCAAAAACAGCATGGGAGCGAATTCATATCGACTTCGCCGGTCCAATTTTTGACGCTATGTGGCTCATATGCGTAGACGCCTATTCACAGTTTACATTTGTAATCCAAATGTCGTCTACAACAACCGCCAACACGATCGCTGCATTGTCTTCGATTTTCGCCATCGAAGGATACCCGAAAACCATGGTTAGCGACAACCGTCCTCAGCTTACAGCTAACGCCTTCGAAGAATTCTGCAAACTGCACGGTATAAAGCATGTTACCACAGCACCATTCCACCCAGCATCCAACGGATTAGCAGAACGTTTTGTGCAGACGTTCAAATTTTCAGTCAAGAAGAACCTCCAAGACGGTATATCACTTAGGGTGGCTGTAACTAAATATCTTTCTTCTTACAGGTTCACTCCAAAGGCCCAAGGTAAAACTCCTGCCGAGTTAATCCACGGTAGACCAGTCCGCACCGTGCTTAGTCAACTTTTCGAGAAGCCTGTCGAAGCTAAACAAACAATCACGAAGTACATCCCTAATCAAATGGTATACGCTCGAAACTATTCAAGGGGAGAAAAGTGGATTGAAGGCATAATCGACCGTCCAGTTGGAAAAATGCTTTTCATCGTTCGCACCTCAAATGGCTATATCAAGCGCCATTTCAACCAGCTGAAACCGAAGTTGTCAACAAACAACTCCATCGAGGAACCTCCAGAGTTTTGGTGGATTCCGGAACTGCCAAAGCCGTCCTTAAACCAAGAAACACAGCGACAAGAACAACCGCCAACACCGTCAGTTGTTCAGCGACCTGATCCTGCTCCTGTGTCTGGCCCTCCTGAACGCGCAGCAGCCTCTACCCAGCAGCCGAAACAGATACAATCTACACAACGTAGTTCCGGCATACCAGTACGCCAAAGCAGCCGTGTTCGCCAGGAAGTCGATCGTTTTAAGCCAAAGGACTTCAGGCGACCTAAAAGCACTAATAATTCCTAATTAAAGGAGGAGATGTGTTATGTATAATGTAAACTCGCTACACAAACATCCAAAACTTTTTGTAATCCTTCATTCTATAAGCACACACATGTATACACACACACGTTTCTCTCGCTACTCTCTAAATAAAGTCAGTCTGTACCAAGCACTCAACCTGTTCCTCGCGAACTAGTGAGATGTTCAAGGGGGGGCTTAGCTGAGGCCACCAGGCGGGTCGCAGGTTGCGGATAGCGAACGGCCTTCTTCGCAAGGTTAGTTGTGAATAAGCGCAAGCGAATAAGCAACCCCGGACAAACAGCGGGTACATCGGAGTCGGTGTACTGATAAGACGCTTGTTTGGCCGTCTTTAAATTGTAGCCTCACACACCCCTCCTCCCTCACAATTACCTACCAACTTCCCTTCCCGCAATCTCACTCCGGTGCCGGACTAAGGTGTCATCCGACCTGTGCCGATAGTCAGCCTGGCTGGGGGCCCGGATTAACAACTAGCCCAGTCTCTCACGGAGGGTTCAGGCAAGTGGCGACCGCCTGTCCTAACCGCGCCTTACCCGGGTATGGCGGATCTCTGCCCGGGTGGACCTTACTTTCTCCGCAACTCGTGGGATCCACTATGAGAAAGAATAACACAAATAAGTTACCGCAGGACATCCCTGCCTCGAGTGTCGCAAGACACTTTGAAAATCAACTCCTCGACGGGGAGCGACCACAGGTGGGACCATCCCCACCCAGGAGCGCAGCCACCGCCAGGAGTGCGTCTCGGACGCAAGATGTGGGACATCCCCCACAACGGTCTACTGTTCCAGTCCGGGAATGTGCGCGACCAGCAGGACCATCCCGGCTGGCTCGCCCACCCCCCGCGGCTGGACAGAGGACCAGGCCTGCCGCGAAGAAGGATGTCCTCCCAGCCAGAGGACAACCTGGAGGCATAGACGACCCCAACAGGAGAGGCCTGCCGGGGTCCAAAGCGAAATGGTACCTCAGATACCTCAAGCAGGGCATGTCACCTGACGAGGCACTGAGGAAGGCAAAGGAGCCACGACCAACGGCCCCAAGTAGTGCACCTGCCAGCAAGCGAGGTAACAGCACCCTCACCCCTCCGACAGACACCCCAAAAAGGTCGAAGTCAGAGGGCACAAATGAGGTCAAGGCAACTCCCTCCTGCCCAAAGCTTGAGGAGCCTTGCACCTCAAAGGCGGCGGCAGCACGGATGAAGCAGCCACCCTCCAGCTCCACAGCCCCTCTTACTGGCACACACACCTCCTATGCGGAGGCTGCCAAGAGGGTCAGAGTGGCGGTGCTACCTGCGGAGTTCCCACAGGTGCACTTGAGCCACGAAGAGCTGTCTGAGTTGGAGGAGGCCATCATGGACGACGTAATCACGTCGGCATGGGACACGGCAGTTGCATTTAGAGGCATCCACTTCAGGGTAGGATACCTCATAATCGACTGCCTGGACCAGGACTCAGCGGACTGGCTGAGGGCCGTTGTGCCCTTGCTCAGGACGTGGAAGGGCGTGCCCCTAGAAACCAAGGTGGGAGAAGATATCCCCGCGGCATATAACGTCACGGTCTTCTGCCCCAGAAGCGCGGAAAGAGGTAATGAGGAACTCCTCATGATGCTCGGGCGCCAGAACAGGCTGGAGACAGACGCCTGGAGAGTGGTCTCCCGGAGGAATGATGGAGGCGGAGCACTCCTTGTTATCGGGATCGACCAGCCCACCCGAGACGAGATCGTAGCTAGAGGGCATCAGCTCAACTTTAGGTACGGTACCGTCTCGGTGAGTGGGCTGAGAAAGGCAGCAAAGGTGGCCGCAACGGAAGGAGCGCCCTCTGGTCCTCCAGATGGCAAAGTGGAGGTCGAGGAATCCCTCGACGAGCCACAGGAGCCTATGGGTACAGAGGAGGACCCTAGCGCCGTTACAGTTGTGAGGAATGAGGATGAGGAGCATCCTACGCCCTCCGACAGTAACGACGAAATAGAGGCCGACGTCACTCTGACGGATGGCAGTGGAGGGGAACACCCGCCCCCTTCACCAAAGATGGAGCATCCGCTCCAATGATGACTGCACACAGCAGCACGAGGCTAGCCCAGGTGAACCTACACCGAGCCAAGGCGGCATCAGCCGTCCTGGCCAGGTTGTTCACCAACCAACATCTCGGGCTAGCTCTCATTCAGGAGCCTTGGTGCAATCAGGGCATTAAAGGCCTGTACACCAAGGAATCAAAGGTAATATGTGACCAACGGGGTGCACACACCAGAGCATGCATATTAATAAGAAAAGATATCAACTATAATATCTTTTCAGAGTTCCTAAGCAGGGACTGTGTCGCAGTAACTGTGAGCGGCGCAGGAAGACTACCAGCGATCGCCATAGCATCGGCGTATTTTGCTGGGGATGCAGCATGCCCACCACCGGAAATCATCGGGCTCGTGGAATGCTGCAGGAGGAAGAAGATGCCCCTAATCATCGGGTGTGACGCCAATGCGCATCACGTGATATGGGGAAGCACCGACGTCAACAACAGAGGTGAGCAGCTTATAGAATTTATAGTAAATAGTAACCTAGAAATCGGTAATGTCGGGTCCACACCGACATTCATTACTAGAGTAAGAGAAGAGGTCCTAGACTTAACCCTGATGAGCAGGTCTCTAGGACCACTTATTAAGAACTGGCATGTGTCGCCAGAGGAATCAATGTCGGATCACCGAATCATTAGATTTGAATTAGACTTCAACACCGCTAGGGACGCCCCCAAAAGGAATCCCAAGAAGACAAACTGGGATCGGTTCAAGTCCTCTCTTGAGCTCGATCTCTCTAACGAACCGTCAGGTATACCCAGACATTCCTTAGAATTAGATCAGGCAGTGGATAACCTCTGCAAGAAGATAACCAATGCTTTTGAGGACAGTTGCCCTCTTGGCAGACGGAAAGCAGATAGAGACGCCCCATGGTGGAACGACAACCTGGAACGGCTCCGAATCTCCACCCGCCGGCTCTTCAACAGAGCAAAAACGAGCGAGGATAACTGGAGAAAATATAGACACAGCCTGACGCTCTACAACAAAGAGATCAGGAAGGCCAAACGGAAGAACTACAGAGACTTCTGTGAGGCAATCAGCACGGCCCATGAAGGGGCAAGATTGCACAAGGCTATGGCCAAAGTTGCACCAGAAAGTAACCTAGCCCTGAGGAAATGTGACAACGCTTACACTTCCGACGACAGGGATAAACTAGCTTTACTCTTTAAAACACACTTCCCCGGGAGCTCACCCCTGGCGGAAGATACGTTCAACCCAATGGAGGCATCGTCCACTCCAAGACACTTCAGACCAAGCGCTGAGGACTGGGCAATTGCCAAGTCTCTAGTCTCTCCGGAGAGACTTAAATGGGCAATTGGGACCTTCCATCCATTTAAGTCACCTGGTCTGGATGGTATCTCTCCATCATTCCTGCAGCAGGGACTGGATTTACTCCTAACCCGCTTAAGGAGACTGATGCTAAGCAGCCTAGCAATTGGACACATCCCAAATGCGTGGCGTAGAGCTAGGGTGGTCTTCATCCCCAAAGCAGGGAAGAAAGACATCACCAACCCAAAGTCCTTCAGACCTATCAGCTTAACCTCGTTTTGCCTTAAAACGTTGGAAAAGCTGGTAGACTACCATATAAGGAGCACAGTTCTTAAGGACTGTCCGCTGCAACCCACGCAGCACGCATACAGGGCAGGTCGTTCAACAGACACTGCACTGTACCAACTTTGTCACACCCTTGAAGGGGTAGTAGACAACAAAGAAGTTGCAATCTGCGCCTTTTTGGATATAGAGGGAGCCTTTGACAATGCGTCGCATGATGCTGTCTTAGCGGCCCTCGCCAGAAGGAATATAGACGCGACAACAAGAAGGTGGATTGGAGCCTTGTTAAGCTCCAGGCAGGCAATGGCGACCATTGGCAACAGCACAATGACCGTTGCCACAAGCAGAGGATGTCCGCAAGGTGGAGTCTTGTCTCCTTTACTGTGGAGCCTACTAGTAGATGAACTACTAAAGAAACTCGCCGACAGAGGAATACAATGTCAGGGCTATGCCGATGACATAGTAATAGTAGCCAAAGGGAAATTTGAAGAAACGCTTTGCGATATTGTCCAACTCGGACTCAAGATAACGCTCGACTGGTGCAGGGAAGTTGGGCTTAACCTCAACCCCGCAAAAACAGTCATTGTTCCTTTTACAAAGAAGTACAAACTGAAGAAGATGAGACAAATCATACTACTAGGTACTCCCGTAGCAATAAGCCGGGAAGTTAAGTACCTCGGAGTTACCTTCGACAGAAGGCTAACGTTTGCAACCCATATGCAAAAGACAGTGGATAAGTGCCTCAGGGCTCTCTTCACCTGTCGGAAAATTGCAGGGAAATCTTGGGGGACCTCACCCCAAATTATCAGATGGTTATACCTTATAATTGTGAGGCCAATACTCACATATGGGTCAGTAGCCTGGGGTAAACGAGCAAGGCTCGTTACCGCACAGAAACAGCTCCAAAGGCTGCAAAGACTGGCATGCATATGTATGACAGGAGCAATGAGAACCTGCCCCACTGCGGCACTGGAAGTTCTCATGGAACTCACTCCGCTACACTGCGTAGTAGAGTTACAGCGGAAGGCCACCCTACTAAGAATCACTTCTTGTGGGAATGGCAGTGACCGCATCCTTAGTTCTAGGGATGCAGCAAAACTACTAGTCGAACTTCCCCTGAGCTCACACCCCAGGGACGAAATGACAGTAGAATTCATCTTTGAAAAGAATTTCTCTGCTCATCTGAGCAACAAGAAAGAATGGACCACCATGAAGGAAGTACACTCCATGGCGAGTCACACTATAGCATGGTATACGGACGGGTCTTTAACACACCAAGGCACTGGCCTTGGAGTAGTAGGACCACGAATCAAATACCATGAATCGTTAGGCCAATACACCAGCATATTCCAAGCTGAAGTTTGCGCCATAGGACGGTGTGCAGAGCTCAATATGAAGCGTGGGTACACAAACAAGGACATTGCGATCCTCTCGGACAGTCGAGCGGCAATTACTGCACTATGCAGCAATAGAATCACTTCGAAGCTGGTTCGAGAAGTAAGGACAAAGCTGAACCTTCTGGGCAGCAACAACAGGCTGTCATTAAGATGGATTCCAGGACACAAAGACATATCCGGGAATGAACTAGCCGACAGGCTAGCAAAACTAGGGGCGGAAAGACCCCTTATAGGACCCGAGCCTTACTGTGGCATAGGCAGACACACAGTCAAAGAATACCTAAGAACAGAAGAGGTACATATGAGGCAAGCCTGCTGGGAAGACACCACAGGCCAAAGACAAGCCAAAACCCTCATCGTCAATTATGACATGAAGAGGTTTAAGAAACTTATACTACTAGGGAAGAGATCACTTAGGATAGTTACCGGCTTATTAACCGGACACTGTAAACTAAGGAGACACCTATTTAATATAGGGATTGCAAACAGAAAAACATGCAGATTCTGTGATAACGAGGACGAAACCTCAATACACATAATATCAGATTGCCCGGCACTAAGTAGCCTGAGGAGCAGAACCCTCGGGTCCAGGTTCCTTACACTTGGGACCTCTGGAAGCATCGACCCGATAAAGCTCCTTAACCTTATCGAAGGAGCCGGGTTGATGGGTGAGCTCTAAGCTCAGATAGGGGGTACAATAGATCCAGTTGGGTCGAGGTAACCTTTTCCCCCCTAATAATAATAATAAGCACTCAACGAGATCACTTCGACCATATACAACAAAAAGAATATAAACTACCATCGGCTTGAAGTTATTTTCAGTAAGGGCGGTCTCCGGGTGATGGAGCCGCTCATTTCTCCCCATATTTTTCCCTCCCTCGTAGCTAGGAGCACCGGCCACC